TTTCTGTATATTTTACAGCATCTATGATTTTTTACTGCAAAGGCATAACATTGCTGATGAAAATTGTATTTGCAATAAAATATTATTGCATCTGAGCCACCACAACCTCTAATTAGTCAGTTACTCCTTGAGGAGAAGAAAAGTGTCTTTGACAGCTCATACATAATTTGTGCTCAATCATACTTATAGATGATCTGGGAACACAAATCTTAAATTATGAAGACATTCAGGAATACTCACCCCATAGCGAGTGGGCTGATATCCACAACTGCTGGCTTCAGTTTTGATACATGGTGACTCTTTGATTAAATATTCCGCAAAGTAGGAGAAGCCATACATCCACTGGTATGAGACAAGAGTTGAGAAATAAAAATCAAACCTCTCTATGTAGAGAAACAACTGAGGTTTGGCAACATTATATTTATAGAAATCGTACATTCCCTGAGTCATTGTCAACACAGGTCTCCTGCTGTCCCTGTAATTCCCACCATGATCAAACCCCCTATTATGATTTTGTTATTAGGAAACATCATAATCAGCATTCCTTTCTTCCCTTTTAGGGATTTGAATGGGTTCTAAAAACCTTCCCTTGCCTGAGCTCAATTTTCCTCAAGCAGTTTTGTTTTTAGATTAGTTTTTCTTTATATGACAGATATCAACATAATTCAAATACAGATGAGCCTCCATTTCTCCTAATCCACAAAACTCAACATCCCCTCCAGGCCTTAACATGAAGCAGAAGCTGACCTGCTAAATGAGATCCATGGTCAATCAGATATGAGAATGTAGCAGTAAATAGTGAACCTGGGTAGAATAAACCAAGGAGACTCTGAGTCCATTTCCATTCATGCCTTAAAGGCAATGAGGTAAAATCAAATCTCACAACTCTTGTGCAAATTTCATGGAATAACTTAGAAACTGAAACATAATTGATTGAATGTGCTTCAGGTCTACCAAAGCAGGGAGTAAAGATTGGATTATAACCAAAAGAAGTGCCTTAATATTCTCCTCTCAGCTTAGAAATCGATAGCAACAGTTATGAGATATTGTTGGTGTAACTGGGCATTTCCACCTCACCTGGTTAGAAGCTTTGGTGACTTTGACAAGAGAATATTGCCCTGATTCACTGTCCTTGTTGAAACTTGCAAGTGTCTCTGTGGCAGTTTCCAGAACTTTGGGATCTGACAAGTTAGTGGGGGATGGGCAGTCAGGACACATTCTCTGAATCTTTCTTCGAGAAACTGTTGATGACAAAGAGAGTAGTTTAAAAATAAAGCTCCTTAATGATTTTTAATCCTATAAATCATATGATCACAGCAGAAGCAGAGATTAAATAAAAAAAGATATTCAGTTTCCGCAAGGATGGCGTGGAAAAGGCATTATCTGGAATGAAAGTTAGCTATCAGCAGTGAGTTTTCTGCAATGAGCAAGTATTCCTTCAATAATGTATTGAAAAATCTAAGCAAAATTTCTTTTTACCTAAAACAAATGTATTTATGCTCAGAATTTTGTTCAAAACACATATGTGTTTATATTGATACAAAAACCTTCCCCCCTATTAGTAGCTCAATACTTTCTATCATTATTGCCTCTGTAAACCAGCTGAGTATCTTAAAAGGTTGGGATCTTATTATTGGTATGTCTTATTCATTTTTTAGTCTCCAACACCTAAGATAATGTAAGTGCTTTGCAAATGCTCATTGAGTGAATAAATGAGTGACATATTGAAGGTGCAAGCACTCTTTCTCTCTGATTCAAAAATGTAAGTCAGCCAGAAATTGGCCAACTCATTGTATGATTGGCTAGAATAATCATTCTAATGGTACAGGCAGAATTTTTGACTGGGGGTTACAAAACTAGTGTGAAAGTTAGGATAGGAACTTCTCTGCAAGTTTTTATAGAGCAAAACAATTGATCAATCGTGCGTTTATATGAGTGTATTTGGCTATTCTTTGGGGGAGTTACATCCACAGTTTGTCACTCGTGGCACCAACCCTATGTGTCACTTTCTGACCTCCCATACCTCTGGTACCTGTGACTTTTGAGTCCTGATCTGCTTTACTAGTTGTTGTTTTCTAATTTAAGTAAGGCTCATCTTCTCAACCAGGAAGCTTCAACTGTGGCTAATACAACATTTGTTCTGTTGCCTTGTCCCTCAAAGGAACCAGCAACAGTCTTATGACCTGGAGCTTGTTAGAAATGTAGACTCTCAGGCCCCACCACAGACCTGTGGAATGAGAGTCTGTACTTGAACAAGATCCACCAGGGGAGTCACATGCACATAATAGTTTGACA